AGATACACACTGCTATATATAAAATAGATAACAAGGTCCTACTGGTTTAGCACAAGGAACTATATTTAATATCTTGTAATAAGCCATAATGGAAAGGAATATTTTAAAAAGAATATATATATATATATATATATATATATATATATATATATGAATCACTTTGCTGTGCACCAGAAACTAACACAACATTATAAATCAACTATACTTCAACTAAAAAAAAAAAAAGAATTCATCAAGGTCAGGCTTCCATGATAGAACTTTTGTGCATTGCCTGTGTTGCCACCTGCACCTCTGGAGAGTCCAGACAGGCCCGAGAGCAGAGGTGGCGTCCCAGGGACCGGGGGGTGATGGGAACAGATGCACACCAACCACAGAGGTGGGGAATTTTCCAAGCCAGGTCTTCAGGAGCCTGTGGTGGGAGGGAGACTTCTGGAAGCACCACAGATCCTCCTGGAGGCATCGCAAAAGGGGTCTGGCACTCGGCGGATTTTTGCTTGGTCCTCCAGGCTCCTCGTCCTGGAGATTCTGACATTTCTTCTCCCTAGTAAGCGAGGAGGAGCAGGGCCGAAGAATGGGGATGTGGTGAGGTCTACCAAAGCTCCCTCTAGGGCACAATCCCCGCCAGGTGAGCACCTGCCCTCACACAAGATGCCTGCTTGGGGCGGCATGGTGAGTAAGGTGTGGCTCCTGAAAGATCAAGTCCTTGGGCGGCAGCATGATTGCGGGGGTTGGGAGAGCACATTAGAAAGCAGCCTGGGTAGGAATGTTGTCACAAACCCTGCTGGCTGACTAGCCTAGGACAGGTCACTTCACCTCTCTGAACTTCTGCTCCATTCTACAAAATGCGTACAGCAACATCCGGCTCCCCGGGAGGCTTAAAGGTTTAAAGAAGATTGTGTGTACGAAAGCAAGGGCTTGCCAAGTGGAAGCTATTATTATTTACTGGTTCCCAGGCACTGCTGCGGACAGGATGACAGGAAGGTCATTGTGTTTGGTGGCAGGGCTTGGGTCCTGAACTACTCTCCAGCCCACTCCATCCCCCTGCTTTCATACATACCCTCTTTTCCAACCAGACTGCCTGCTCCTGGGCTGACAAGCTCTTCCTCGCTGCCTGGCCTTGGCACCTGCTGGTCCCACGGCCTGACTTGCCTTGTCTCCCTTTGCCACCTGACAGATGGCAGCAACATCCTCCTTCCCTGATCCCCAAAAGAATGAGCACCCCCATAGCTTGGAGGCTCAGTCCCACGGGCCTGGACTTCTGAGGTCCCAGCCCATGGCCCCAGCACTTGGAAAGGACTTGCCTCCCTGTAGGGCTCAGAGCTGCAGGGAAAAGGACAGAGGAGGGGGCACTTCCCAGTCCCTGGGCATCCCTGTGACTTAAGCTCTCCTTCTCTTGTGAAATCCACAGCTGGCAGAAGGAAGCGCAGAGTCCCAGCAGTGTCTGGGGCAGACGCACACCCCCTTCGTGGGGTTAGGGCTCTTCATTTTGTGTAAGAAAGGCTCTGTCCCAGTCTGGGCCACCACCTGAGACCCACGGAAAGCTTGGGCCTCGCTGAGCCTGCCCCCGTGACAGCCGGGGGCTAGCAGCCTAGTCTAAGGGGCTTTAGGAGCAGGGCTCCCAAGGGCATTTGGAGAAGCTGCGAGAGAGGCTGTGAAACACTGAGAGGATGGAGGAAGAGGAAGTGGCCCCCTTCCCTGGCTGGCCTGACAGACAGCTGTGGAGGCCTTCCTTCCTGTGAGGGACCGGGCCCAGGGCTCAGACCTTCAAGCCTCCCATCTCCCCAAACCACAGCCCAGAGGTGTGAAAGACAGAAAAAAAAACAGGGGGAGGGGGTGGCAGAGAAGAGACAGGTGCACATTTCACACCTTGACCACAGGTGGGGCTCGGAGCAGCTTCACTCTGACTAACTTCCTTCTGAAGCTTCCCCTTGGTGTCTCGGGAGGCCAGAAGCAGAAGGGTACAGCTACCAGAACTTAGGGTGCAGGCTCCTGGCTAGGTGGGTCTTCCCCAGGGCTGGGCCTGCTTGGAAGCTGGTCTGGGGGCTGCTTGGGATAGGAAAGGGCCGAGTTAGTGGGCCAGACAAGGTTCTTGTCTCGGCACCTTCTGAGGCATGTGAGCTGTGAAAGACAGCAGTGGCCCACTGCAGACCTGACCTTCTGTGGCCTTGGGAGGGGCTGGTCTGGAAAGTTACTAGAAGGGGAGGAAACTGCTGCTCACTGGGTTCTTTACCCTGTGCCATATATATCGTTTACAGTTCACAGAGCAGCCCTGACACAGGTGGACTAGCTTTATCCCTACTTTTCAAATGAGAGAACCAAGGCAGAGAGGTAAAATGATTCGCCTAAGGTGACACAGTGGGGCAGCCAGAGGATTCGGCCAGGACTGGCCGAACCCTCCCAGCTAAGGCATGGCAGCCTTCCCGAAGGATCCGTCCTCCAGCCACGTCCACAGGGCAGCACACTCCGTCCCAGGGCTCCCCTGACATGGAAGGGCTCCCAGGGACTCTGGGTTTGTGGCCAGTATCCCTCACACTCAGCATTCTCAGATATGCTTCTACTAAGGGCTGAGCCCTGTGTGGAGACCTCACAGCCTTGGTCATCTCAGATGACCTGTTTTACAAATTTATTTCTTTTTGGCTGCATTGGGTCTTTGTTGCTGCGCGCGGGCTTTCTCTAGTTGTGGCAAGCGGGGTCTACTCTTCTTTGTGGTGTGCAGGCTTCTCACTGCAGTGGCTTCTCTTGTTGCAAAGCATGGACTCTAGGCGCACGGGCTTCAGTAGTTGCAGTGCGTGGGCTCAGCAGTCATGGCGCACGGGCTTAGTTGCTCCGTGGCATGTGGGATCTTCCCGGACCAGGGCTCGAACCACTGGTGGCGCAGTGGTTGAGAATCTGCCTGCCAATGCAGGGGATTCTCAACTACTGTGCCACCAGGGAAGCCCTCAGATCATCTTATAACACCCCTGGTGAGACCAGCTCAAAAACGGTTATGTCATAGGTCCAAGGTCACACATCTCGAACAGCGTGGAGTCAGGGCTGGAGCCAGTCAAATTCAGCATTTTTCCCATTCTTCCCACTGCATCATGGCCACACCAGGAGCAGCGGGAACAGTCCGCCCCACAGCCCAGGCTGGCCTCTCAGGATATGGCCCAATGCAGAAAGGAAAGCTCTCTGCACCTTTCCAACACTCTTAGCTGACCTCTCATTTCTCCTTTCCAGCAACCCAGAAAGGTGGGGATCTTGGTCCCCATGTGGCAAATGAGGAGACTTGGACACAGGAAGGAGACCGGAGGTCCCTAAACTTAGAAATTTCACATGTATCTGGAGGACCCACACTGGGTTGTCAACTCCTGCTAACACAAGATGCTATTGTCACCAACATTTCATAAAGAGAAGATCCTTTTAATACCAAAAAGGGGATAAAGGCCATAACTGCAGAATACAAGAACCTCCTTTAAGTTGAACAAACAGAGCTTTTTGTTTTCCTCCTTTCTCTCACATGTAGAAGCCCAGTGAATGGAAACTCTTCATGGACCAGCATCAGAAGCTGTGCTCCTGGCTCCCACCTGTCTTCCTCCACCTGCAGGCAAGTCACCTGCCAAGTCCTACCTATCCTAACTGCTGTGGCTTCTGGAGTCCTCCCAGGCCCCTCCACTTGTGCTGCTCCTGACCTCCTCCAAGCCCTTAGTTCCCTCTGGCCTGGATTCTGCAGGTGACAAACTGCTTAGAGCAAGGACAGTCACATCTTCTGGCCACAGGAGGCAGGGAAGGACCTTGCTCCCTCACAAGTGTGTGTTTTGTCCATTAAGTTTGAGCTGAATTCAAGACCCAAGCCTGGAGGCTCAGGTGACGCATTCTGGCTGAAAACTGGACCCCAATGCCATAGCCTCAGTCTCCCTCTCTCTCTCTCTCTCTCTGCTTTTCACCTATGAGGAGAGAGGGAAACTGCTTGGGAGAGGCAAGGGGCTGCCTTTTCCCTCTGATAATGAGAGCAGGGCAATAGGGAGATCCCCATGTAGTCTTCCCCAACCTATTCCCCTTCTCCTCACTCCAGAAGCAACTGCTCTCATGGATGTGTGGTGTTTCCAGTCCCTACTTTAAACTTCTAGGACAAATAGCTGTATCCAAAACAACACGGTATTGTTTTGTGTGTGGTTTTTCTAATTTACCTAAGTGGTGTCAAACTATACACAGTATTCCCTAACTTGCCTCTTCCACCATTGGTCATTGGCTTTTCTAGATGTGTCCATGTTAAAATATACAGCTTTTAGTTCATTTGTTTTTAACTGTGTGAATATATCATTGTTTATCCATTAGAAAGCAACTGAAGGCAGTGTGAGGAGTGGTAAAAGGAGAGTCAGACAGCTGTGGGTTCAACCGTAGCACCTACCCTTGCTTTGTATGTCTGGCAAAGGCCTTTCCCCTTTCTGGATTAGCCATGGGGATGCCGCCCACCCCCCGCCCCTACAAGGGATTTGTGTGGTTGGAATGAGGCAGTGTCAGAGAAAACGCCTAAAGCAACACCCAGCACACAGCAAGTTCATTACTAGCAGTTCCCTTTCCTTGCCCCTGTTGCTTAGCAGGGAGGGGCAATAGTAAAGGACTAGAATTAGTGTGATGGATTGCTTTCAAATATTTTCATTTTTTAAGAAGGTTCATCTCCTTCATAGAGTTAACAGGTTTAGCTATCCAATCCACAATCGTGCGAGAGCAACTCCAGCCCAGGACAGATGAGCAGCAGTTCTTACCCCTGCCCTTGCCAGCTGCCCTGCTTCTCCTTCAGACCTCTCCCCTCAAAGCACCTGCCCCTGCCCTTCCCTTGGCCCCAGGCTTGTGTTCAACTCCCAGAGCAGCTTCCCCGGGCCAGCAGGATGTTGGGGTAGGAACCCCGTGGCCTTGGGTCTAGGGAGTTCTGGTACAGATCACCCCTTGGAAGAGGCTGCTGCCGAGAACCGCGTGAAACTCTGACTTCCTCTGTGTAGCGCAGGTTCCCGACCACAAGCACCAAAGCAGAGGGGCAGGCAGCACACGGCCAGGCAGCCAGAGTACCAGCCCAGCCATGGTCCCCGAGGTAAGTGCCGCTGTCCAGCCAGGCCAGACCACAGCTCCAAGTGGAGAGCCTAGGACGCTAGGGGAACGTCAGGACTGGCCCACAAGCCAGGGCAACCAGAGGGTTGGGTGAATAGGTAGAGAATGCAGGGTTTGTGTAGAAGGAGCAGTCTGGACTGGGAATTGGGAAACCACCTTGGCCACTGACTTGTGAATGACCACAGGCGAGACCCCTCCCCTTTCTGGCTTTGGTGCCTCATCTGCGAAACGCATGAGGTTGAGGCTCACCCCTCACGGTCCCCAAGGCTCCCTTCAGCTCTGACTTGGAACTTTGATCTTCCATGCCAGACTGAACTGGCCCCTGGGAGGCCCTCAGCTATGGGGTGGTTTGCAGGGCAAGGGGGTAAGGAATGTTTCTAATAGAGCTTGCTGGGCAAGTCCCCAGCGGGTGGCAGGCTTCAGTGTAGGGGAGGGGAAGGACAGGGGCAGAAAGCATGTGTTTGGGGGCTGCAGTGATTTGTAGAGGGGCCCCATGGGGTGGGGGGCAGGAAGTTGGAGTCCCCAGACAAGGGCTGAGGAGGGAAGAGGAGGGCCAGTGACTGGGAGAGGGGACGGCGGATAGGCGCCAGGGGACGAAGGTGGTGGAACTAGGCGTGGCCAGGACACTGAGGACCATAAGCCATGAAGGAAGGGCAAGGAGAGAGGAGAGGGGGCCGGGAGGGCTGTGGGCACAAGATGGAAGCTCTCCCTCCAGTCCACAGTCCCTGGGCCGATGGGATGACCCAGAAGGGAGAGAGAGAAGCAGCCTTCAATAAGGGAAGTTACCAGCCCAGCACCCAGGCTGGGCACCTGGAGCTCAGAGGGCGTGGTTTCAGAAGAAAGGCAGGACAGTTACAGGGTACAGCCCAGGCCTCCGGGCCTGCCTTACAGAGGAGTTGCTTCGAAAAAGGCTCCTCAGACTAAATCTTGAAGGAGTGATGTTTTTTAATTGAAGTATAGTTGATTTACAATGTTTCAGGTGTACAGCAAAGTGATTCAGTTATGCTTACATATATATCTATTCTTTTTCAGATTCTTTTCCATTATAGATAACCTACAAGATATTGAATATAGTTCCCTGTGCCCTACAGTAGGCCCTTGATGTTTATCTATTTTACATGTCGTAGTGTGTATCTGTTAATCTCAAATTCCTAATCGAAGGAGTGACTTTTAAGGCCTTCACAGGCTCTGTGCCCTCCCTCCCTCCACAGATGAGTGAACGCCAAGAGTTCCAAGCCTCGGAGCTTGCCTTCCTCCTGGAAAACTCTTCCTATGACTACGGAGAAAACGAGAGTGACTCCTGCTGCGCCTCCCCACCCTGCCCGCAGGACTTCAGCCTCAACTTCGACCGGGCCTTCCTGCCCGTCCTCTACAGCCTCCTCTTCATGCTGGGGCTGCTGGGCAATGGCGCCGTGGCGGCCGTGCTGCTGAGCCAGCGGGCGGTCCTGAGCAGCACCGACACCTTCCTGCTGCACTTGGCCGTGGCTGATGCACTGCTGGTGCTGACGCTCCCGCTCTGGGCAGTGGACGCAGCCGTCGAGTGGGTCTTCGGCTCTGGCCTCTGCAAAGTGGCAGGTGCCCTCTTCAACATCAACTTCTACGCGGGGGCCCTCCTGCTGGCCTGCATCAGCTTCGATCGGTACCTGAGCATCGTGCACGCCACCCAGCTCTACCGCCGGGGTCCCGCAACCCGTGTGGCCATCACCTGTGTGGCGGTCTGGGGGCTCTGTCTGCTCTTTGCACTCCCGGACTTCATCTTCCTGTCCGCCCACCACGACAAGCGCCTCAACGCCACCCACTGCCAGTACAGTTTCCCGCAGGCGGGCCGCACAGCCCTGCGCGTTCTGCAGCTGGTCGCCGGTTTCCTGCTGCCGCTGCTGGTCATGGCCTATTGCTATGCCCGCATCCTGGCTGTGCTGCTGGTCTCCAGGAGCCAGCGGCGGCTCAGAGCCATGAGGCTGGTGGTGGTGGTGGTGGTGGCCTTTGCCCTCTGCTGGACCCCCTACCACCTGGTGGTGCTGGTGGACACCCTCATGGACCTGGGGGCCGTGGCCCGCAACTGTGGCCGAGAAAGCAGTGTGGACGTGGCCAAGTCGGTCACGTCGGGCATGGGCTACATGCACTGCTGCCTCAACCCTCTGCTCTATGCCTTTGTGGGTGTCAAGTTCCGAGAGCAGATGTGGATGCTACTCATGCGCCTCGGCTGCCCCAACCAGAGGGGCCACCAGTGGCAGCCTCCGGCTTCCCGCCGGGATTCATCCTGGTCTGAGACCACAGAGGCCTCCTACTCAGGCTTGTGAGGCTTGGGATGGGGGATCCCCCTTTCCCATGCTGCCCGACTCCCCCATTCCAGGCTCCTCCCTCGCTCACTCCCCAGACACACACTCCTTGGAGTCCCCGATGGCCCTGGTACTGCCGGGTCTCCCAGGGAGCCGCCCTCCTGGCTCTGGGGGCTGCCCCATCACTGCTCCTTAGCTGCACAGGCCCTTCTTACCTTGGCCGCTCGGAACCCCACCACCCTCCTAATTCAGTAACTAGGCCTCAGCCTTCCCCGTATGCAGGGAGCATGAGGCAAACAGCATAATGGCAGCTGCCTTGGCCGGGCCTCCTGTTCCGCAGTGACTATGGCTGTGGTTCCCGAGACCTCTGTGTTTGCTCACTTTGATTTTTATGTCTAAAACTCTGATTCAAACTTTTCAATAAACAAGCTAATCAGGACCAGGGTGTGTTAATGCATCATTGCAGCCAGCCCTGCCCAGGCTCTGGGGATGCATGCACTTCCCGCTTCTCCTTGTCTGGCCCTGGGTCTGTGCCAAACAATGCTGTCTCTGTCTGTCTCCCCTCCTCTCTGCCCTCCTGGGCACACCTGTCCCTCACAGGAAAGCACCCAGGGACATGGGTGCAGGGTAGGCAGTTAGCCAACCCGCTGGCTAGACACTGTCTAGGCATAATTTGGGGAAGGGGCCTTCAGACATAAATAAGACATAGTCCCTGCACTACAGAAGATTAGGCCAGCAAGGAAAATGTATAGGTGACAATACCAAGCAGTCTATGCCACGAGGCAAATGTGCAGCACATGTTCAGAGCACTGCAGCTGGAGCCATTTGGGAAGCCTTCTTGAAGACAGAGAAATGAGTAAGAACTTAAGGGGCAAGTAGTATTTCCAAGGGCAAAGAGAAGGAAAGATGGTATTTCCAGGCAGATGGGAGGGCAGCAGCAAAGGCGGGAAGGCTGGAAACAGCAATGCTTATTGGAGGAATGATAACTGGTCCCAACTGGCTGGAATTAAGGGTTCAGGTAGAGAAAGGGTGGAAAAGACTCATAGTTTGGGATCAGGTGAGGGTATCATAGGTTACAAGGCTGTAGTGGTTATTCATGTTAGAGGTGACGCAGGCTCTCACTAAGGAGATACAAGTGGGACTGGAGAAAAAGGAGATCGGATAACTTGGCAGTCATTAGCACATAGGCCACCTGGAGGCATGTGTGGGCTGCAGGGAGCATCTTCCCAAGGCTATAGCTGGGGTGGAAGTGAGTGGGGGAAGGGACCAGGGCTACTGAGGTAAGGCAGAGGGCTGGACCCTCCCTTTGCAGGGGTGGAACCGCTGCACTGTCAGTTCTCCCTAACGAAGTCACCAATGGGCCATGATCCAGTTTCACAGGCCAGCTGGGCTTTGCTAAGATTGCAGATGTGGCTGGAGGTGGGACTGGAGAAGAGGGACCCAAGGATTTAGCTGCAGGAGCACGTACCACCCTGTGCACATACCCGATCCCATCTAGACTTGTGCTTAGGCTTCAGTTTGTGGCCACTGAAAGAACACTCTCAGCATCTGCAAAATGAAGGAAGGATGGAAGGCAGATGACAGAATAACACATCCTGCCTATAAAAAAGTATCAGTGATGCTAGAGTAGTAAAGATGTTTGAGGCAGGCTGAATAACAAGTCCCCAAATGTCCACACTCTAATCCCTAGAACTTGTGAATATGTTAATATGTTACCTCATGTGGCAAAAGGGAATTGAGGTTGCTAATCAGCTGACTTTAAAATAAGATTTTCCTGGATTATCTGGGTGAGCCCAGTGTTATCACAAGCGTCCTTAAAAGTGAAAGAGGGGGCCTCCCTGGTGGCGCAGTGGTTGAGAGTCCGCCTGCCGATGCAGGGGATACGGGTT